CAATTCTAATCAAGTGAAGGCATTGCTCATTTTGCTTCCAGGCAATTGGAGGGGTTGGGGTTTTTTTTTGTTTTTTTTTTGTTGTTGTTGTTTGTTTGTTTCTTTGTTTTTTAATATGGGGAGCTGGGCTTTTTGTTTTTGTTTATTTTGTTTTTGTTTATTTTGCTTTTCAGGTAATAATGCACCTATTACATGTAAAATAATGCAGGATTTGGCACCCTTGTATGTCCTTTCAAACTATCACGGTTCTCTGTAATTTGCAGAAATCCTTTGTGGCCGTCTGTACCAGAGAATAAATGGGATACAAAATTCTGCTGTTTTTGCTAAAACAAGGGTGGGGTGAGGTTATTATTATTTTGAGTAGCTTGGAAGATTTGTCACTTTAAACAGATGATTTAATTTCTCTTGATTTGAAAGAGTTTATCTTACTATCCTGAAAGGAAATTTGGGAAAAAGCTGTGTGTGTAACTGTTTTCTGCATAGATCTTGTGTAGGAAGTCTTGCCCAGTAAACTGAAAGGAAATTGTTTTTGTAATGCTTTCTGTGCAACAAGAATGATATATTGAGCTGATCTAAAAGTTAACTGGTTACTTTGTATTGTCCAGGCAAGATAGTAGGATGAATAGGTTGTATTGTTTCATGTTGTTTTGTTTGTATGTCTGTTTGTTTATATCTAGAATTTCTGGGATAAAAATTACCATGTTTTCTAACAGCATCAAGTTAATCAAAAGTAGTCAGATATAGAGTCTTTCAAATGCCCTTAAAATAAATGCAGTGTTTCTGTTTTGATTATCTATGATACGCTTCAGAAGTGAACTGACTATTGTAATATTGAGTCTTCTGTTCAAACAGGTGTGTTTTGCTGAGAATGTTTTTAGTTATCCTAGGAGAGGTCAGGCTCAAATGCTAGTCAGGCACCTTCCCAGGACAATGGGATGTGCAATCTGTGCTTTGTAAAGGCTGGTATTTGAGCTGTAGTGGTTCACAGACCAGGAACCCCATGTAGAGGGGAGGTAACAAGAAAACATGCAGGTATGGAAGCATACCATCCTCTTCTATGCTGGGAGATGTACTTACGTATTTCTTTGTGTTTTTTTTTTCTCCAGCAAAGTGGGTGAAATAGTGGTTGACAGTTCTGATGAAGCGTGAGGAGGACCCGACTTGCGAGTGGGCTTTCATAAAAGATTTCATTGCTCCCCTTCCTTTCACCTACAGGCATAATCTTTGCCTCCTGACACAGAAAGAGATCTGAGATAGATTATGCTTTATTGTTTTGGGCAGTGGGCAATAATGTTCATCTCCTGTTCATCTCAAATCTTCCACTTTCATGTCTTCAGAGTCATCACTTTAGCAGTTAGGATGCAATGAAATGCCAGGTCAGAAAATAGAAGCCACTGTGTCCCTGACTTTTTATACTGCTTAAACAACATAAGGAGACTGGGAAAGCCTCTTGCTTTTCTTGCTCTTTACATTTTGTGCACTGTAGTGTTTGAAGCAAGATGCAGATTTGATTAAAGCTTGTCATGTTGACTATTCCCGAACTGTCTTAATTAAGAAGTGAAATCTTTCTCCTTACTTGGCAGAAATAAATCTCTGCCCACTGCCTCATATCATGTGGAAATGACAATCTCCTTTACTATGGTTTTTTTTTAATGGTCTTTTAAAAAACTGTTGTTTTTTAGCTAAGTTTTGTTGAGTGATCACTAAAAGCAAGAGGAAATTGAATTAAAAGGGAGATCATAGTGTAATAATTGCAACACAGCAGTGTCATTTCAGTTTCAGTAGGTAATATTCTATGAGGTGTGGAAAATGGGGCAGTTCTTTCTGTGTCAACTCACTGTACTATACTGGACAGCAGTTATTTTACACAGAGTACATTATATTGCAATAGAATTGTCTGTCCCAGGGACTTGCTGCAGTGTAAAAGGCAACTTTTCTTTTTTTCTTCCATTGTATTTAACTGCCTCTATTTTCACAGCCAGGTTGTTTTGTTTTTTTTTGCCAGTCCTCCCCATGCTCCTTGCTCTGTTTGCCTGTGGCTTCTGTCAGGGGCTGCAGTGCCAAGTCTGACTGCTATCACTCTGGCAGCATCCAGCTCACTGCAGGTTTCCATGCACAAAAACAACGCTGCCTCTCTCTTGTTTGTCTCTTTTGTTAACAGTCATAATGGAAGCAGCTAGGCTAGTTTCTATTTCTCCTTTTCCGCTTCTTATTAAGACTGATGGCTTCAGTCCTAAAAAGCACTGTATTTGCAATTTGCAGGTTAAATATTGTAAAATCAACAGGAAGCGAGATGAGTCAGTGCTGTACATGCTGTCTTCCTGTAGACTACAATGTGTGGGATTTATTAGAAATACAGAAAGTCTCCTGACATCTGCTTCTAAAAATATGGTTCTAATGTATGTTCTTAACCACCAAGGCAAGGTGGCTGGAGAATGGAATGAGAAGGAATGGCAGTGCTGTTCTGTTCCTACCTCATTGCCCCAGAGTTCTGTGCAAAACAGACTCAGTCTAGAGAGATTCGTGTGATTTATTACCTACTGATAATAGACCAGAGCTGTGAGAGCTAAAAGCAAACTACAAACACCTTCCTCCTATCCACCCTTACCTACCTTCTCCCCACAAGTGACACACGGGAATGGGAAATGGGGACTGAAATCTGTCTGTAGTGTTTGGTTTCTGCCACTCCCTCATTGTCACTCTCTGCCCATGTTCCACAAGGTTCCTCCCATGGGATGTTGTCCTTCCCAAACTGATCCTGCGTGGACTTCCCAAGGGCTACAGCTCTCTTAGCACTGCGCCAACACGGCTCCATACCACAGGGCCCACCCTTTGGGCATTGCTCCCCAGGAGTGCAGCTCCCCCAGCCCTCCCACCCCACTACAGGCTGCTCCCCACAGGTTGCAGCTCTGGTCTGGCTGCTTCTCTGGGGGTATCCATGGCTGTGGCTCCTTTGGGCCTCATCCACCACTGCACTGTGGGCTCCTCTGTGACTGCATGTGGAGATGCACTCCATGTGGTGCTTGTGGGTGCCTGGAACACCTCTTGCTCTCCTTCTGCACTGACTGCAGCATCTGCCCGGCTGTTAGTAATGGAACAGTTACTTTCTATCTATTGCTATAGCCAGAGATTAGCCTTCATAAGAAGGGCAGAAGAAAATACTGAGAAAATGAGGAAAGAAACATTACTGTAGTTACTTCCATCCTTCCTCTGTGGCAAAGCCATCTTTTAATCCTGAATTTCACTGGTTCCTCAGACTGAATGCTTCTTTTGACATAGATCCAGGACCTTATATAGCAAATTCTGGGCCCTAGAGTATGTGCAATGCTAGAGTGACTCTAAGGCAGTTTAAAAAAACCCTGTTGTCTCCAGTACAGAAGCATAGACTACTCTAAGCTGAGCATTCTGAACTGTTCTATCTAGTATTTTTTCAATAATGTTATTACTTTTTTTTTTTTTTTTTGTCTGAAACACGTCAGACAGATATGCGTCAAATAGGAAAGTTATTTGACACCATATACTCTATATAAAGTATATATAGTGGGAGAGTTTTATGCCAAATTTCAAAATAAGAAATCTGTTAACTTGATCAGCATTTGCCAAATTTATGTGTCTTCCATTTGCAGAAGTTCTCTTCTTTTTAAAACACTTCTTAAAAGTGTTTTTACAAACAATCTAGTCTCAAGACTCAAATGCATACAAAGTAGGTTTGCAGGTGATACAAAATTGGGAGGAGCAGTTGATTCCCTTGAGAGTAGAGAAGTCTTGCAGAGTGTTCTTGAGAAATATAGCAACAAGGTTATTGGATGTTACGGTGACGGACCTACTGCTGGACTAGATGACCTTAGTGGTCCTTTCTAGCCTTAATGATTCTATGATTGGAGGGCTGGGCAATCAGCAACCTCACGAAGTTTAACAGGAGCAGTGCTGGATTCTGCATTTGGGACAGGGCAATCTCTGCGTATAGCCCTGGAGGATGCAGGAGAGCAGCCCCATGGGAAAAGAAGTCTGGTAGCTCTGGCTGAGAGAAGGTTGAACATGAGCCAGCAGTGTGCCCTGGAAGCCAAAAGGGCCAACCATACCATGGAGTGTATCAGGCACTGCCAGCAGGTGAGGGGAAGGGTTTTGTCCTGTTCTGCTCTGTGCTGTGTGGCCTCACCTCCAGCACTGGGTGCAGGTTTGGGCACCAAGATATAAGAAGGATGCAAAACTGTTAAAGAGCATCCAAAGGATTTAGATGAAGGATCTGGAGGGTAAGATCTCTGAGGAGCAGCTGAGGTCCCTTAGATATCTTCAATTTAGAAAAGATAAGGCTGGGAGGAGGCCTCATAGTGGCTGCAGCTCCTCACAGGGAACGGATGGGCAGCGCTGAGCTCTGCTCCCTGTGAGTGCAGCAGGACCTGACAGAATGGTATAGTGCTGTGGCAGGGGAGGGTCAGGTTAGGAAAATGTTCTGCACCAGAGGGTAGTCGAGCCCTGGAACTGGCTGCCCAGGGCACTGGGCACGGCCCCAAGCTGCTGGAGTCCAAGGGTCATTTGGACAGTGGCCTCAGACATAGGGTTTGAATTTTGGATGGTGCTCTGAGGAGCTGAGAGTTGGACTCAGTGATCCTTGTGGGTCCCTTCTAACTTAGAATATTCTATGATTCAATGAACGGTGTTGAATGTTTGGTTATATTGCTGCTGCGGTCACCGATCATTGTAAGTAAAATGCTTTTTGGGGGATTACTGGATTGAGTTTGGGCTACCTGATATATTTCTTTTTACTGTTTTGGATTGTAGAACTGGAATGTAAAACTTGTTTAGCTTAATGAGTCTCTATACGAAGTAATGTGATTTTTTTAAACTATTTTCTTTAATTCCTTTGGAATGAATATGTTGTGTTTCTGCTATGTGATGCAGATATTCTAGGAGAAAATAATATTTAATGAATGCAATGCCTAAAATGATGATAAATTTGTTTAGAGTTTGACTCCTTCTGTTTGCTTCATCCTCCCCAGACAAACGTGTCGATGATTGGCCCTTGATGCAGTCTCCATTTCCAACACTGACTATAAGCACTATTTATCTCCTCACTGTTTGGCTGGGCCCCAAATGGATGAAGACAAGAGAGCCCTTCCAGTTACGTTTCCTGTTGGTTGTTTACAACTTTGGAATGGTTCTACTCAACTTCTTCATTTTCAAAGAGGTGTGTATGCACTCTTACAGGACGGAGTTCCTACTAAGGTTTGAAGGCATCTGCAGATCCAAAATTAAAATAATCTTATGTGTTTTATGTCTGTTGTAGGGGGGTTGGCCCAGATTTTTAAAACAGAATTTGTGTTTGACGTGAGCATTTAGGTAGTTATGTACATTGTGATTTGAATAAAATACCTAGATGGATATATATATAAAGAATTTGTACACTATCTAGACCAAGATTTTCTTAGATTTATGTTAATGTAAATACTGGGGAGAATAACTGGAATCCACAAAGATTTAAGGGGAATTATTTAACAGTTTGGAAATAATTTTTCTAGAATAGTGATTCAGAATACATATGATCCTAAGAAGTAGTTTTTGTTACGGTGATTTTGCTCATGTGGGTTAAGGGTCTTCCTGAAAGACTGTGGATCCTGAAAGATTGTGGATTTACAAGATGTATTTCCAGAAATAAGGAAACAGATAACATGGTTAAAATTACAGAATTTCTTTTCAAGATGGCCTGTTCAACACTTTTGCCAGGAAAGCGGGATTTTTCTTTATATTGACCTTTCTCCAAATCCTCGTACTAGTTGATTTTTTTAAGTCATAATTCTTTGCTGTAGCACCTCATTCATAATTTCCTCTAAATTGTCTCCTTGCACTATTCAGATGTGTAATAAGATATTGCAGATAACCCAGAATTTAGTGCTGTCACCTAAAGATAATTGTGAAAATGGATAAAATTGATGAGGCGTCTTGGCAAGTTAAAACTGAAATTCCTCTGAAATGAGTTCACTGCTTTTTTTTTTTTTTTTTTTCCTGTATCTGTCTCTTTCACTTTTTTCTTAATGAGTCTGTATTATCCATAAGCTGAAGTACACCAAGCTTATGGTCAGTTCATATTCAAAGCTCTGTTGCTTATAAGATAATAAATGTATTTGTGTAGCATTGCCAAACCACTGAATTCATATACAAATGAATGTAACTGCCCAGCTGCAGAGGTTCTAATTTCCTGCTATTTCAAATAGGTCCAATTGGTTATTCAATGGATGTTAAACCAAGCAAGCTGTTCGTACAACACTTGTAATAAGAAGTGGCTTTTCTCAGTCTTAGGGACTGATACAAGTATTCAAGTTTCAAATGTTGTCTTTAGCCAGGCAACTTCTACTTCAGTCCATATGAGGTTTACATTACCTATATGCTCCTGTTGTAATTGTCATGAGTAATGTAGTTGATACAGCTAAAATGATACTCTATTTGTATTTTGTGAATGGCTGATGTTTCTGTGTATTGCTAAGAATAGGATTTGAATGTGAAGTGCTTTTGATAAGATCCATAGATTTTGTTTTTAAATTTAAATGTTATTTAAATATTCATCCTGGTTACTAAGCTCATTGTTCAATTTGATAACATAGATTAAAATGATGAATCATAAAATGCTGCTAGATTTTTCAGTCCAAAACTCTCGTATATTGGTCTCAACTTTAGATTGAGATTTAGATGCAAATTTATCTTAAACACTCAGAAGTCTCAGGCGCAGAACCCCATTTTGCTACAGAATCATGTATTTCTTACTCCATTTTGAAGAAGTAGCTTCAGGCTAGGGAAGTAAATTTATTATTGCTTTTGCCAAGTGAACTTTGAAGAAATTACCTAATTGTCACAGACCACAGTAGAAAATGGCTAGTTTCTGTAACGATGCACACAAAGCTATTCTGTAGTTCTCTGATATGTTCAGATGTGCTCATGCCCATGTGGAACCACAGGAAGAATAGTGGTTTTACAGTAGCTTGTAAACAAGCTTTGGTGACACAGAAATAGTTGAATTTCTTTCTTGAGATCATTGATTGTTTTAGAGATGTTCTTGCATTAATTTTCTTTACTGTAACAGTTCCCAGTTTACAAGTTATGTTATCTTTTTGCACCTTAACAGACTGGAATTACCTGGCTATAAACAGTCTTGGATCAAGGCATATGCAAACATCAAAATTAAAAGTATTACTTGAATCTTGTACAGCTCTAGACAAGTGCACTTCTTTCCAATGAAAACTTGCTCAAATGTCAAGTTTATCTTTTCCTGCTTTGATTATTGCAATACACTTATTTGGCATGGCTCTACAGGAGCACATGATATGCTTTAGGCCATTCCAAACTTGGCACAAAGTGGGGCAGTTCTCTTCATGCAGTGTCTCTAAATATGTTTTACAGGTGCTCAGCATTGGCTTTTCAGGGATTTTTTTCTGGATTTTGATTGGTACATTGTTCTAAGAATGGTAGATGCAGATTGTCTAATCCCTGTCTGTTGGAGAGAATTCTTTTTTCTCTGAGCTGTCACAGCATTTGTGTTTCTATCATTCTTCATGAAAGCAACTAGGTGTCTTTTGTTTCTGAATCGAGAGCCCTCTAAGAGAAGAATCATGTTTGGGTATCTTAAGGTTGTATTTGTTCAGGTCTCTAATTATCTGGTGAAATACATGCAAGGAAATTAGTACTTTTAATATAATAGGGAAAAAATGCTCAGTGTTAGATTGTTAAAACTAATTACTGGTTTTCTTCATTATTAAGACAAATTAAGACAGTTAAAGTACTATATACAGGTAAGTTTGATGCAGCAAGAAACTTGTTAACTGTCTTGAACTTGGTTTATATAGTATCTTCCTCCTCATGTATGGCTTTAATATTTTCAGCTGTTTTTATCATCAAGAGCTCGAGGGTACAGCTATGTCTGCCAGACTGTGGATTATTCAGATAATGTTTACGAAGTTAGGGTGAGTATTTCTTTATTATTATTATTATTGATGTGTGTGTGTGTGTGTAATATATCAGACTATGTTTTAAGTTTTGTCTGAAAATACAGTTTCCAAACTTGTGCTGTCAGCCATACTGTATCCCGTTACATTCTCAGACTGCTTCAGGCTTGATTAGGTTACACATAGCTGGGTTAATCACAAACATCAGTGTGTTTGCATTAACTTTCATCTGACTGCTGCAAGGAAGCGTAGCCTTAAAGATACCATCCCTGGCTTTAGCCCCTGTTGCATGAGCCAGGATAAATTTTGTGTGCGTGCTTTGGTTGCCAGCCTATGCTGCAGTTTATGATGCAGTGTAACCACAGTAAAGGTGTAGTTCTAGATCAAAGCAGGTAAGATTTGTCAGCACATACTGTGGTTGCACTTCACTGATACTGGTGAGGCAACTTTTTGTCTTCTTTATTGTGTTTGGCTTCATGAACTCTTGCTAGCTTCTGGCAAATGTTTTATCAGTACATTTTGTTGCAGAAGCTTAGATTTCAAATGCGTGTATTTTGGAAAGCATTCAAATTAAAATCAAAGTGCGGATGCTTGTTAGCTTAAGTAATTCTGTTGACTAGCTCATGTGTTAAACCTTATCTTCCAGCAGAGCTGACTCTTGAGAATCTTGCAGCTGTCATTGCAAGTTTCATCCACTACAGATTATAACATGTTCCTAAAAATGCAATGGAAGCGTGTTGTGATCTAAGTACCTTGGATGGCTATAGCACATCTTGAAAAAAGTGTTTCAACAAAATGACTGTTCATGGGTACTCAAACACCTGTGTAAGTGGCAGGAGTGGTAGTGAGAAAGACAACTTGGTGTCTTAAAACTTCTGTATAATGGCTGATATTGAAGAACAGCAGCGATAGTCACTTGTCTTTTGTCTTTACCAGTATTGTGGATTCATTGTGTTGTTCACTTAAATACTTCTATTATTTTGTTTAAAAGCAAATAATTGAAGTGTAAAAAATGCTTGAGGGTTTTTGTTGTTGTTGTTTATTTGTGTTTTTTTTCTTTTTCCAATAGACAAGCAAAATAGAATGCCCTGATACTCAGCTGAATGATAGCAAGGGACTGTGGTGAAATAAATTAAAGGCATTTTTATTATAGTTAAGCAGAAAAGATGTAGCAGTTTGTACATGAAAGCTATTTAATAGCTTCACTTTTAGGTGTACGTGTAGACAGGCTGTACAGATATGAGACCCGATCAACAGAATTATCTTCTAATTTGTTTATTATGAGGAACAAAGGATTATTAAATAATGAAGTGAAGACAAAATGACCAGTACAATATATTAATTGCCTATGGTATGTGTGGCCAAGATTCTTTTTATTTCTCAGCTTTTTAAGATTTCGCAACTTTGTGGATTTGCATAAACTTTATTTCTAAACTTCTAGGTTGTAATATGCTCAATTTGCAATGATGAGTTGGGAAAAACACTGAGTTTTCTGAAATGTTTCAGTAGTTGTTTAATCTGCTATTGGACAAGATAGCAGCATCTTGTCATGATCATAATCTCGTAGTTCTGAGTAAATTCTCAATTTAAGGCAATAAGCAGTGAGTAGAAAACTATACTTCTACACTTGTACTGAATTTAACCAAGGAGTCTAAAGTAAGCATCTGGCCAACTTCTCAGAGTATCATGCTTTATTACAGAGGCTGGGAAGCTGGAACAAATACTGTCAAACTAATTGCATGTGGCAGGCAATCTGAATGGAAATTTAGAAGTCCTGATATCTTCTCTGTATCTTTATCATTTCTGGATATGGATATATTTCTTGGATATGGATCCAAGTTGAAGGAGGGAAGATTTAGGTTGGATGTTAGGGGGAAGTTCTATACAAGGAGAGTGGTTAGGCCCTGGAACGGGCTGCCCAGGGAGGTTGTGGATGCCCCGTCCTTGGATGTGTTTAAGGCCAGGTTGGACGGGGTCCTGGGCAACCTGATCTGAATGTGTGTGTTTGGTGGCCCTGCTAGGCAGGGGGGTTGGAACTACATGATCCTTGAGGTCCCTTCCAACCCGGGTGATTCTGTGATTCTGTGGATAAAGTGCAAATACGAAGTCGCCATGTAGTGGCCTGCTCAAAGGATCTTTTTTTGCCTACAGGGAGTCCAGAGAGCTGGTTAGTGGTTCCAAAGCAAAGATTTGGCAGTCTTGGATGACAGGGGGATGTTTTCCTTCTCCTCTCCAAACCACTTTTGTCTTAAGACAAATAACCAGAGGTTATTTCAAGGGAGCAGTGTAAGACAGGACATGTGGTGGCACTTGCCCCGTGGAGTGCAGTGCCAGCAATCCACAGCTTACAGACCTCCTGAGGCAGAGATAGTCTCTTTGTTTCCCTGATTCTTCAGGGGTGGGCTTCCATGAATTAGTCTGTATGTTTTCTTTACCAGGCTTCTGACATCCACTGACAGTTAATTCTTCAGTTAGTTTACACATAGTGTGAAGAAGTTGGTCCACTACTTACTGTTTTGAACCTCTATCTATACTGTAATCTCATCTGAGTTCGGCTGGCTCTTGTCCTACAAGAGGAAGTGGGCAACTGGAGCTAGCAGGGGATGGAAACTAGACTTCAAAAGTGCAGAAATATCTTCTGGATGTAGTGGATAGCCATCTTACTGTGCTGGTGGGTTGTTGAGGACTGTGTTTCATGATTTGTTTTTTTTAAAAAACAGCATTCAAGAAAAAATGGGGAAAAATCCTCAACAGGGGCTTTTGATGGAGCTGCATCTTAGAGGAATATTTTGGTTATAATTTCAGAGTAAATAAAAGCAAAAAGGTGAGATGTAGCTCACTCTGAAAGTAATGCCTCCTATTTATTTCCTATTTATGAAAATACACCAAGAACAAAGAGCAAGATAACACCATTTGATAGAGCACATTCTCAGCTACAAAGCACTGACTGTCAATATATTCACCACAATTAGCTCTGCATTTTTGCCAGCGATGAACGGGATCCTGCATACCCATACCATGCTCATAAACATATGCTCCAGCAAAGGTGACCCACTGTTTCACAGCTGCTATGATGACGTCATTGCTAGGAAAATGCTGTGCATACAGTCAATCTTTCATCAGCCCAAAGAGATTTAACTCAGAAGGTATCAAATATGGACTATGTGGTGGGGGTGATAAAACAGTCCAGACAAGTTTGGCAGTGTGCTCCATGGTCTTCGAACTGATATAGAGACTGGCATTATTGTGTCGCAAGGGAAAGGTTGTCTTCTCTGACCTGACACTGGATGTTTGAGCCTTCAGCTTAGTCAGCATTGCAACGTAGCAATCAGAGTTGATGGTTTGTCCATATTTTGGGAAATCCAGAAAGATCATGCCTTTCCTATCCCAAAAGACAGTGCACATTATTTTACCCCCAGAGGGCTATGTTTTGAACTTTTCCTTCAATGGGGAATTCACATGTTGCCACTCTGTGAACTGCAGTTTTGATCCAGCTGGTAGTGGTGACACCGTTTCTCGTCCCTGTTAATGACAGTGATTCAGGAAACCATCACCTTCAGCCTAATATTGGTTCAAGTAGGTCCTGACAGACTTGCATATAGTATTCTTTCTGTTCCTGTGTGAGTGTTTGTGGGACTCACCTGGCATAAACTTTGTCACCATTGTTTCCAAGGCATTGAAGTCAATATTAAGCTCAGTGTACAGTTCCCTGTTTGTAATCTACTGATCTGCACAGATGAGCTGATGGAGACATGGTGTGATATTTCATGGTATGACAGCTCTGTATGGCCATCCAGAACATGGTTTGTCTTTCATGTTACCGCTGCTGAAATGCACCATCTGCTGCCTCACTTTGCTAACCTCCACTGTTTCGTCTCCATAAACGTTCAGTGAATGGGTGTCATTTTTTCTTCATGGACAAATTCAATGGTACTCATTTGCTTCATATGCAATTCCATGTCAGATGCCATTCTGTCAGAGTGCCCCTCTGCTGCCATCTGTTGCACAGCAACAAAATGTAATGGAATATTGGCGAAAAGGCTCAACCTCTACTGCCATCCCACCAACACTTGCCTCTGACATCATGGCCCAATGTAATAACATAGGAGACATTAATTTCAGAGCAGCCCTTGTAAATCCAGGCAAATCCAGGAGTTCTCCTTTAGATGCTCCAGTATTTGGTGTAAAGGATTTCGTAATTCTGTGTGAATTAAGATGTTTTAATGTCTGTGAATAGTCACTTGCACCCTCTGCTTATGCATGCGTGTTCTTGTTTTGCAGAACAGGTTGATATCTTCTGTTGGAATTTCTGAAGAGATGAGAATTAAAAGTCAGAATCTGCAGTGAATTAGTTTTTAGTTTTAAGTGTGCTGATTGTAATCGCAATGATGAGTTGTGGTTGTAACTGTAGTCTGCTTGCTTTTACTTGCGTTCTTTAAATGAGTCTACAGATTGAATAGTTTCCTCTAAATTTCTGTGAAAAGAGAACTTGAATTTTAATAAAATAAGCCCCGTGGTTCTATAAATAAAATTCTATAAATGAAGCAGAAGGAATATGACTTCTCTTTAAAAAACAAGTCCTGTTCCCTACACCCCCTTTCTGGATGGCTGCCTCAACCTCAAATGAGAAAAGAGGGTTCAGGAGCAGAGTTCCATGTTAAAACAGCCCTCTGTTCAAAAACCCTGCAGCAAGCAGAGTTCATAGGATTGGACCTCTTGTTGACTCCCTTAATCCTAGGCTATAGTGTAATCTTTTGTGCCATCTGGTGTTTTAATAGATTTACATTTGATGCATCTGAAAACTGACAGAAATTATATGGTCATAAATAGTATTATTCATTACAGGAGTACATCTGTTTTAATGCATATTTTTCTCTTAAGCTATATCTTTCTTTCATGCTGTGTCCAAAGAAAGACTATGGATTAGGTCATAACTTTTGATGCTTTACAGGAAAAGTTTTACAGTAACCATCCACTCCTTAAATAGCTTACATGTTGGTGTATTGTTCTACTTTCCACCTTCTGTCACTGATAGCTTGCATGTCTTTGGGGAACAAATGCAACATCCGTTTGATTTTTTTCTGCATTTGTAAGCTAATGATCAAAATGCCTTGATAAAACTTTGGGAGCTCTGAGATTAGATCAATACCTGAAACCTGTCCATTGTAAGAATAAATAGTAGTAAAACCTCAGAATGGAAAGCAGGAGGACAAAAAAAAGAGCTTTCAGGCAAAAAATCTATATAAACATAATAATCAGCAGTTATTATCCTGTGGAGAAAAGGAGGCTATTTTTATTCTTAAGTAATGGGAAGCATTTTGATAAAAAGTTAAGCCGACTTCGATCCACGTGCTGTAATTGCTTTCTCTGCAAGACAGTTAGAATTAAAAAGAGGAGAAATAAAGTGCTAAATGACTTTCCAGAAACATCCTGGGCATAAAGTAGTTTAATGTTGGATTTTTCTCATACATTTTGCTGTATGTCATGCAGTAAATTTACCAGTTATTCCACTGTTTCTTTAACAAAATACACAGCAGCTTTGAGCTTTTCAGGCAGTTTGCTTGTAGCTGACCTATTGATTCTTTGCAGTTTTCTCAGAAGGCAGCACTTCCAACGAGTGTGAGTGCTGGTCTGTCCATGGATACAGTCCAAAGTGTTTACTGTCAACTCATGAGATGAAAAGATGTTTATCTTAATTTATTTAAAAGATGCAGCTTTAGCAAAGATCTGTAAAAGATGCGGTGCTGTAATGCTAATCCATGGGTGTGAGACAAAGCCTTGATGTGGGTGTTGTTGTACACTTGCCTATTTGTCCCAGAGGCAGAACTGTACTGGGTATTGGGTAACAGGTATTGATAGTTCTTGCGACTTGCATGCGTGTCTGGGAGCTCCACTATCTGTGGGCGTCCTTTCTCTCTCATCAAGCATCTCTTCAACTTTGCCATGTATCTTTTGATACAAAATTGACAACATTTGTGTCTTCTTCCTGAGATCTGAGCTGTACTGGGTCTGCTAGGGAGAAGGGTGTAGAGTAACAGTTACACAGAAGTCTGCAGTTTGGCATCGGTAAGTTGTGCAGTCCCTTTGGGAGACTGCAGTCTGCAATGCAGAACTGCGGCTCTCTTCTGCCTTCTTTTTTTTTTTTTTTTGGCTTCTGCTGTAATTTCTTAAAATGTTCCCAGTCCACTTATGGTTGTGACAAGCTTATTCTGAGGAGAGATATATTTCTTTCTGGCTCTTTTGGAGACATGAAGGAAAACAGCAGACAGGGCTGTATCATTCATGTTTCTGTGATTGTTCTCTGCTGCTCATTCTTCCAGTTTCTATTGTCTCACTCAGCCATACTCTTAAATATCCCCATCAGGGAAGCTGCTGCCCTCTTATTAATTTTTTTCTTTTATCTATCTTCCCTGGGGACTGAGTGGGTGGTGGAGTTATTTCACACGTTAAGGTAAGAAAGCGTGATTTGCCTTCAGATGAGTCCTGAAAAATGATGTACACTTCTTGCAAATAGGTGTGTTATGACATTGCCTGCTTTTCTTGCAGGTGGTGCCATTTCCATCTTTTTTGTTTGTTTGTTTGTTTATTTTGAAATTCTATTTATGAGTCACCATCTGGAATACATTCTGGTCCCACCCTTGCATATCAAACTAGTCGACTTGCAGTGCCAGGAGCTACAGTCATTGCTATGCTTCATGATCTGGAAGGGAGTCCCCACAAACAATGTACTCCAACATCACTGTATTAGCAAATTACTATACAGAACTTCTGTGCTAAACCTGGTATAGCAATATTCTGGTTTCAACAGGAGGCCGTGTTCATGTTTTATCTGCTGCAATTGGTGGACTGAGAGTGGGGGAAGTTTAGGTGTGCTACACTACTGTATTGAATAGATGGGTTATATGTGTGGCTTGTGTGACTGCCATGATCTCATTTCTTCCCTTCCCTGAATGGAATACAGCCACTAGGGGAATGTTGATTTCCAAAGAGTGTTATTGAATAGACCAGAAGAAACTAAGTAGAATATTTCCCTAACAGATGTGAAATCTTTACCTCAGCCTAGCTTTTTGAATGATTTGGTGTCCTCCCATACATGTGCTGGTGATACTGAAAAACTTAATATGAAGTTTCAGCCCTTGCAGCTCATTTCACCATGAATTTTCAGCCTCATTGTTCTGACTGTATCAGTGTTGCTCTGTAAGTATGGGAAGCTCTGGTAGTCTCCCACAAAGCTCAAGATTCAGAATGAGGACACAAACTCCTTGAGTGAACTGTTCAGAGATAGTAATGTTCTTAATACTTTCAGTTCTTTTTTGTGGTCATGATTTGTGAGCAGTGCACTCAGAATACTACTACTACATCCAGAGTAGATGAATGGAGTATTGGTTTTGTTCTTACTTGTACTTTCAGATGTTTGATGATTCCACAGCAACAATTTCCAGGATTTGGGGAGGTGGAAGAGATGTTCTTCTCTTGCATTAGATAGCTGGAGATAATTTAATTCCATTCAAACTGTAAATTGAAACCACTGATTTATTTATTTATTTTCTCATTACAGATAGCTGCTGCTTTATGGTGGTATTATGTCTCGAAAGGAATTGAATACCTAGATACAGTGTTCTTCATCCTGAGGAAGAAATTCAACCAAATTAGTTTTCTTCATGTCTATCACCATTTCACCATGTTCACTTTGTGGTGGATTGGTATTAAGTGGGTTGCAGGTGGACAAGGTGAGTTTCCGTCCTTCCATATTTTGAGTGGACGTATAACAGAATTATTGTTGTTTATAATCAATGAAAAAAAGTTCTACTGGACTTAGGATTATTATGTAGAAGGCTGTTTAAATAGCATTGAAGAAGTGCAGTAGCTTTAATGTGTATTATCTTCCTCTGTGGGAAATGTGGGGGAGGAAAAGATACCAGGGCCCATAGTCTAATGAATTGCAAAACTTCTTTTTTTTTCCTCGTGGGCATCAACTGCAAGCATGAAGTTCTGTTTTCAAAACTGCCTTTGTTCTGTATGAAATAGAAAGATGAATGTGTCTTGCCTAACTTCGATTTTTGCAGATACAAAGAACTGCAAAATCTAATTATGAACAACAATCTATGTGCAAATGTAATGAAGTTAACAGAGATGTTATTTTGTCATTATGTCTGAGTTTGGGGTTTGCTATCTTTTTGTAAAAAGAGACATATAAAGTTCTGAAACCTTCCCTTGAAGGTGAGCCAATAAATCCATCAATTAACTTTTAAAACCTATTCATGACACAAGTCTATATTTCATTATCAGCCTTTTTGTTGTCCTTACTGTCTAAGACCTACGTCAATGAATTTTATGCCATTGTTCCTGCCACATCCTCTTTCCTGAATTGTACCTTCTTTGACATTGTTTTTGTTGTGGGGTTTTTTTGTTGTTGTTTGTCTCAAATTATATGCTCTACAGAGCTGATCGTTTGGGGAAAATACCCAATTCTGTTAGTAATGTGCTTTTAGGCTTAAGATACTTAGAATAACATATAGTAAACTCCAAACGTAACTTTTTGTCAAACCACCCTAAAACTTTATGGCTCTCATTTACTATAAATATCTCATGCTTGTAGATGAGATATTGTATGTCTAGATAGAGCTGTTATTAATTATCTAACATTTAGATTATCCTAGTAGTTTGCCACAGATGGGTATCCAAGTTGTCTGATTTCAGCAGCTACTCTTTGCATTATCTTGATCTTATACATCACCTCCCTTTTTAGCCTCTCTGGTAGAGTAACAAGACCTGAACATGATCTAGTTTGTCACTGTTAAATACAAAGAGCAAAGAGATCTTAATGCAAACATGAACACTGATCTTTGTTTCCAGCATGGATCATCCTGGAAAAAGTACTATACTTTTATTTAAGAATGCTGGATTTTGTAAGTCATAAACAAAAAAAACAGAGATGAGCTATCTAAACAAACTAATTTTGCAATTCCCTTAAACGTCTTACAGCCACAAGTGAGGTTTTGCTTTGTGTTGTTTTTTGGCCTCTTTATTCAAACTTCCATGTGGGTTTCTTGGTGTCTTGCTGAGATGTTAACTTTACACATTTCATTACAGCTTAACAAACTGAAGTTCAGATGCAACTGCTTTATACTTTACACTGTCGAATACTGCTTTTAATAGCTCCCTTAGCAAAGCCATTGCATTTACACTACAATAACTAACGTGTAATGCATGACTTCAATATATTCAACAAAAACATTATAAAAAAGCTTTTGCTTAAGTAATTCCATGAGAGCAGTGACACCTACTTGCACAAACAGCTATTTCAATGCATGTCATCAGTGAGGTCTGCACTACACAACCGAATGTTTCAAAGATGGAAGTCCAGCATGCCCTGTGCTTTGTGATGCTTACTATCGCGTGAATAATACTAGAATAGTTTTTTTTTTTTTTTTTTTTTTTTTTTAATTACATGGAAATCTTCCTTCTGTTTCTGGACAGCTTTTTTTGGAGCTCAGATGAATTCATTTATTCATGTTATTATGTACATGTATTACGGATTAGCTGCCTGTGGCCCTAAAGTTCAGAAATATCTGTGGTGGAAACGGTACTTGACTATATTGCAGTTGGTAAGTAAAATTTCTCCATTCGTTTGAGGAGCTATTGCCTCTGAGTAGATTTGCTTCTGTACAGCTTTGGAACAGGTGCTGTCCCTATCTAAAGTTCTTAGCTGTCCTATACTCACAAGTCTAGTTAGAAATGATTATATTCTTAAATGTAATTAAGCAGTTAAAGTAATTGCTTAAGTATACAACCGTTCTTGTGTGAAGAAGTCTTCTTAAATACTTATTACTGATCATGGGCATTTTTAAGCTCTAAGAGGTTTTTATTTTCAACAAACAATGACTTATTTATTAATGGCATAATAAGGGTCATTATGAGACTGGAAAAGGGCTAAAGATGACTTCACAGCTCAACCTCAGACTGGCATTAACAACTCTCCTCAACACTCATATCTGCAAGCAGTCAGTTACCAAGCATGTGGTTATCCTATTCTGAGTACCATGAAATCACCACTGTGTTTTAAGGAAAAATCTAAAGGAATATCTATTACAATTGAATATATCTCTGTATGTTTTTATTTATTTGTTTGTTTGTTTATTTGAGTTTTCAAATCCACTTCAGAGCTAGTAGGTTGCATATTGTGACAGCCAAATACAGTTTCCCCCTGCTTCACTGTTTCTCAGTTTTCATGAGTTAATACATTAGCATGCACGGGTGCAGACCTACAAAATATATCCAAACCTTTTTGATTACGTGCTTTCTGTCTTTCAGGTGCAGTTCCATGTGACTATTGGCCACACAGCTTTGTCTATTTATATTGATTGTCCTTTTCCTAAATGGATGCACTGGGGTGTAATTTTCTATGCTATCACCTTCATTTTCTTGTTTGGTAACTTCTACTATCGGACATATAAGCTGCCCAAGGAACCTGTAAAGAATGGCAAAATAGCAAACGGTGCTGTTGCAAATGGAGTAAGCAAACCAGAAAATAATCCAGTGGTGGAAAATGGAAAAAAGCAGAAAAAGGGAAAAGCAAAAGGAGAGTAACTTGATCCAGGCCTTAACCATTGATGGCTGTGAGGAACCTACAGTTTGGTTTATAAAAGGAAGAAAAAAACACTATCTGTACCAATTAACCTTAGGTTACTGAAGAGCTAGAACACAGATATTTTCATTATTTATGAAGATTGTTTTAAGAACAAAACTTAAAGTTGAATTTCTATTGTAATTATGTAATTATCATGCATATGATCTCTGTGTAAACTTGTAGACTGCTGGTGTTGGTGAATGTAAGGAAGAATTGCAGTTAATTCTATGTTTAGCAGTCCAAAAGTTAAAACTACCATTGATGCAACCAGCTTTGTTGGCACCCACATTTCTCTGGGGAAGGGAGGGGGGAAGGAAGTAGCGTTTGAATACTTGTGTTTTCTTTCCAGAAATTTATTAAATTTCAATTTACAATGTATTATCTAACCAGAACGCGCAACTTTTCTTGTCCTCCTTGAAGAGTATCTTCAGAAACATCATGTTTATGTATTGTCAGAACAGTGTTTGACTTTTCAGAAATTACTTGATTTAATTTAGTGTCTGTTACAGGTTTATTTTGGTTGTTTTTTGGTTTTTTTTTTTTTTTTTTTTTGTTTTGATTTTTTTTTTAAATTTTGTTTTTGTTTTTTTCCTTGTGTGGAAATATACCTACCTCTTCATCTGCTGAAAAGAATATTGAGCATTAAATAACTGATTTCTGAAATACAGAGTCTTCTAATATAAATATCCATTAACATAATTGAGGAGGAAATTTTTCCTTCGAAGTAAAAGAGATTTTATTTCCAGGTATTTTGGGTCAAATCATCAATATTTTCATTTAATGTGAACTCAAGTTTTGGAGTGGTGTGCTTAGCATGGCTAAGTGAAGAAAACATTTTAAGAATTTATAAATATGAGACGGTCATTGTGTGAAGCAAGCAATTTAAACAGGCCTGTGGCTTTGTTATCTGTGACCTACATTAACCCTGTGGTGCTGATTGACATTGAAACTTGTAAGATAACATTATGATGGAGAGAAAACAACATTGACGTCTGTTCAAAAGTACAATGTGTAGTGTCATGCTAACAACAGGACAGGTACTTTACTGGGGGAAAGAGAATTTAATTATAAAGTTCTAAATACAGCAAACACAATGCTGAAAATGCTGCTACTGTTCGATGCCCACCGATACTCAATTGATGATTTGCCTGCTAGACACTTGCAGGCAAAATATTGCTGGCAGTCAGGCCACCATTTTAATGTGAATATCAGAGTTGGGCTTCTGAAAATCTGGTCCCTAAATATTCTTGGTTCTTCTCAACCTGATTGACAAAGTGATTCTGCTAATCAGATTTTAGTCATAACTGCTACTACAAGCCTCTTTTAATAGCTTTTCATCTTACTTGATGCATTAATGGACTTCTTCCTACTCCTTTTGTGAAGTAAACATGGATACGAGTTAATTCCCTTCCACACAAAATGAAAGTTTTGACAGAGTTTTTGTGTTGCTGCAAATGTGGTGAGTATAATGCAAGTGGAGTTAGAAACCACATCCTGAACTCTCAGGGTCCTTATTCATCACTGCAGGAGCTGCACTGTTGCTGTTGAAATGCACTTTGCCCAGCTCTGTCCAGAAACACTCATTGTCAGTGATGAACTTACATGGAGGAGGTGGTGACGTTATTGAGGGACAAAAGAACACACAGCTCTAGGTATAGAGAGTTACACACATGGCACGCATTCATGCATCTCAAATACCCATTTTGTCTGTTGTGACCTATTTTGCACAATATGGACGTTTTTTCTGTCCTGGGTTTGTAGCTTGTCACTTTGATGAAAACTATCTAAGCCTAAAAAATGAGTTGTAGGAAAAAAAGGGCTGGTTATGATCTGTTCTACTGGGAAATAATTCCTGGTGCTGGAGTTCATTCGACTGCCAGAGTGGTTCATCAGTAATATCCACTGCTGTGGATTTTATGGCAGAATATAGGATTTGGAGAGAATGCCTCTGCTGAGCTGTAACGTGACCATTCGTTTTCCTACGTGTTATGTCTCATGATTTTCCTTCCAGCCTTTGTAATGATGCTTTTATTTTATTTTATTTTTTTTCATTTCTATGATTCTTATGCATTTATGCAATATGGCATGAGGAAGAGGGAACATGCTTTATTCTTCTTTCTTGCACAGATGCCACTACTAGCCAAAAAGTTGGCTGGCTCTGGAATGGCTAACGGAGCAAATAACTACAAAGCAAGTTGGACAGCAGATTTACAGCACACCTGCCATTCCAGGTTAATGGCTGGTGTGGGTACTCTCACCCTAGTGTTAATTCCAGGTAGCTTACTCCACTTTGATAAAGAGTAGCTTCTTTCTGTTTGATATGGGATGTGGACAGCTAACCATTAAGTTTGTATCATTCCTTGTCTTGTATTAAATTGGTTGTTTACTTTGTCTTTCTTTCTGTAAGCCAGATTGGATAACCTGATAGGTTTAATGTGATCTGGCTCCAAAAAGAGCATACCGAGAAATATTGTAGTACAAGTTTGACTACATTTGCTACACTTCATAAAGTAAGAATTGTGTCTTGCATGTTGGCAAATACTTAAAAGAGTTGAAAGTCGAATCCTCTCTTCCCCTCAGCGCACATGGAATCCTGCCCTCAAATTCTGGGTTGTTTGATACAAAAAAAAAACAGAGAGAGAGACAGACAATGCTTTGGGAGAATGCATGCATAGATGCACATCATGTCTGGACATGTGAATAAAACCAGCTTGAGAGATTGGCAGTTCTATGGGGAAAAAAAGTCACACTGAGTTTCTGCAATGCTGCTGTTTTGAGTCCTTCTCCTGCTACACTGTTCCTGACTATGCAGATTTCTCTTTCTGAAGATTTGCATATGTGAGATACTGCCAGTTCTGCTAAAGTCATCACTTAGTCCAAGGCTCCACAGAATTTTGCCACAAAAGTATGTGTATGTGTAAAAATGTTTCTGCTGTACACAGAATTGAAATTGAAATTATAATTATTTGCTAACAGTTTCAAAACTCTTGGACCAACCATACAATTATTTGATGCCATATAAGTGATACCAATTGACTTATCCTCATCTCTAGTGGTGACAGTTGTTGGATTCTTTTAGCACTTTGCTCAGTGTACAAAAATAAAACAAATTCTGCGTGTATACACATACACACACATATAGTATGTGTGCATACATGTGTGTATCTATGTATGTATGTATCTATCTATGTATGTATACATGAGTTCTTAGCAGGTTCTTTCAGAGTGTGAAGTAAATTATATTTCTTTGGCGTGAGGTTGGCAGGAACTAATAACATAGTTCCTACAACTCGAGCACTGAAATGAAGCAATTTTCATTGATCTTTAGATCCAATATCAGTCTTATATACATGGTAGTATTTGTCAGTCATTTTAGATGTAGAGTGGTGGACAAGCCAGAGCTGTTTCTCCCAGCGTAATAAATTGAGGTAGCAATTCCTCAGAGGAGCTGAGGAATGATGCTGTCTTCTAGTGGGAAGCAGTGTGAGTAATCTGCTCCAGGTAAGTCTCTGAAGTCATTGCAATCACATACTTTAAGAGAACCCTTAATAAATAAATAAAAGTTTATCTACAGATTCAAAAGCATGGACTATTTGAGTATATGACCATTACCAGATCAAGAGGAAAAGATGAAGGCAAAATAAAAATACTGCACTTTTTTTTTTGGGTTAATCTTGTTTCTCTAGAGTAAGCATTTGACATCCAGATGTGGGGGAGATAGGTAAGAAAAGAGTAAAAAACTGCTGTGCTCAAAGAACTCACTCTTAAAAATGTTTTTGAGCACACTTGCTGTCCTTTAAAAACTTGAGAAAAATTGTTCATGGTACATAAAATTAAGCTTCACGTCACGTTAGCATGGTATCAGTCATCATGTGTAAGCAGTACCTGGATCAATTTCACTTGAAATTGAAGAGAATGGGGAGGTCATGAAGAATCTGGATAGTTCACTCTGCTTGAAGCACGGGTTATGATATTTTGGCACTTGGAGCAAGTCACCACCATGACATTTCAGTGTGTTGTGCTCTGACAGGTCTCCCTTTTGCTAGTGTAAGCAGTCAGAGCTCTGGAAATCAGGGTGGCTCCTGTTTACATCACCAGAGTGTGTTTAACCCTAAAGAACAGAAAAAAAATTACTTGCTTTCTGCCAATATCCCATGAGGATGAGGGAAATATATGGGTCAGAATGCTGCTTTTGCATAAGGTGTTAATGCTTTTGTAAACAAGAAAAATAAACATTACTTTTTTTTTTCATGCTGTCTGGAGTTTGATTTAATACATCCCCCAGAACATTCTGTCCCATCTTTAAATTACATGCTGATTTCAAAGCTTTGCATTGATGGTATCTGTCAGATAGCCCAAAGGTTCAAGGGACGTTTTTCTGATACATCCCTTCTCACTTGAAGTTTGGAGATTCTCTGCTGTTAGATGTCTCCCTGAAAGGATAGCATACTGGCTCTGCAGTCCCTTGGCAGAACTAGCTGAAAACATGATGTCCACTTATCCTACGTGTCTCCTGGGGTATATTCTGTCTTTGCAGCACATGTATCAGCTTCAGTTGTGGTCCATGTGTTCTTTCCAGTCAGGGAGAAACAGAAGGTTGGGTGAAAGGCGTTTCTCTTATGCTCCCAGCATCACGCAGTGCTGGGCTCCTGCTCTGGGTGTGCAGGAGAGGGGGGGAACAATCAGCATGGTGCAAGGTAGGTGCAACACCTGGACACATAAGCATAATGGTTCTTTCTGTAAAGTCCCAGTCAGTCTTACATCTGATTTAAGAAGGTGGTGGTAAGTGAAAATGCACTCAATGTAAGGCTACCAGTTCTTTGGTCTTAGACGTGTTAACACATGGGGTAAAACAGAAAGCCATGTAGTTTAGCTTTTGCTGGATGCTGTGCTATGCTACTGTCGGGTCTCTCATCCCACAGACTATCAAGCACTTTTGACAGGAGATATAACTCACAAGTACATGTTTCTGTGTACGACAAGTTCCTTCACAGCTCATCCCTAACTACCATCTCTGTAAGCAAGCTTGTAATATTGAGTTGCACCCGTGTTGCGCTCCTGGCACCAGAATGCAAATAGACACTGTGTGCCAGGTAGTGGAGAATCAAGTCTGCCATCATAGCAGAATGTGGTGTGGTCAATTATTTCTTACATCATTTGCAATTGTTGCTTCAACTCACTGCTTGCATCCTCCTAGAAAATGCACACAGCACACAGAGCAGGACTTGTTCATTAGGTGATTAACATACGCTGATAGTAACACTCTATCCAGGTATCTTTCCCATAGTATTTCTTCCCTACTATCAATTAATATAAACATATGTGATTCAGATAGAGAAATCAGATGACTCAAAAGAACAGAATGGACCTCTTGTTTTTCA